TTCTTTCTAGGGTTGTTTCTTTAAGCTGCTGGAAGCCCAGAAAGAATTGTTTCAATTTAACTTCTTACCTCTGCAACCCCGAAGGACAACCAGGAAGCGGCAGCTCGCTTAAATGGAGGCCAGACGACAAGCCACTGGGATCACCGGTTTGAGAGTAAAAGAACAGGACGAGAGGCCCACAAAGCCCTAGACCAACTCTGCTGCACCTGAGACATTTCTGCAGGGTGGGCTGTTCACAAGGAACCTCGAACTCACTAGAAAGTCACCCCATTCTCTTGTCTGGCTGAAAGAGAACTGGCCTCAAGGCTAGAAATCTTTGCAGGTCTGTCTGCTGGACAGAAATGAAGAACTTCCATGTCAATGACCTTTCTTTCAGGAATGACAAGAGAGTTACTAATGGGGAGGAGAGAGAAAAAAAATGCCCTGAGATGGTCCTAATACCCTGTAGAAATGAAGTATTCTCGGCCCAGAAGCTGACACTTTCTTTCTTGTGTTGCGAATTGGGAGTTTTTAAACTGGGGTTCATAGGCAGGCTTGTGAAGCCCTACAATATCTATAGACAAAATTTGTGGCCATAGTTACCACATTCACAAGTAGGTCAGTGACCTTAAAAGGGGTCTCTTGCTGTAGAAGGTAAATACAGTCATGCTAAAAAGTATGTTTCAACACTCACTGGTAAAACCAGGCGACTTGAGATGGTAAAACTGAAGAATTCCAAGCACCTTTGTTATTTGAAAAGAAAGCAGGACATGACAAAAGGAAAAGTGTCCTGTGAAAAGCACAGCATCTGTTTCCCAGTTCCTGCCAGACCGGACACCATGGTAACAGCATCGTGTTCTGCTGGGCCTCCGGAAGAATCTCAACTCTCTCTCCTCGGCAAACACCTGCACCTTTTCCACAGACGCAAGAGAGTGATTTACTCATCATGCCTCATTAGCTTAGTGTGGCAGTGATTACGCAAATGTTGTGGCGATCCACAGCTTCCAGGATTGAACCATGGACTGGCAAAGTAAAACAAGGACGCTAGCTGCACTAGCGATTACAGAGAAACAGCATTCCTTGCCCGTCATTCTGAACTGAAGCCAGGGATAGGGTTACCAGATAAAATACAGGACACCCAGTTATATTTGAATTTCCAATAAACAAAAATAATTTTTCAACTAAAAATGATTTATTGTTTATCAGAAATTCAAATATAATTGGGCATTCTAATATACTTATTTGCTAAATCTGGCAACCCTAGCACCCAGAGAGTACCTACAGCAAAAACCCACATTCCCTCCCTCAATTTAAATCAAAGGAAAGTGAAGACCCAGCCTGAACCCTAAAGTGCTCAGCTAAATTTACATAGACACTCAAGTAGCTATCCCAAGTAGTTCAACCCTGGTGGAATATCAGAATCACCTGAGGAGCTTTAAATAATACATCAAACCCGGCTACATTCCCAGAGGTTCTGATTTAAGCTCTCTGGGGTGAGGCCCTGGAGTCAGTTTTTTTTTTAATTCTCCACAAGTGATTTGAATAGAAAGCTAGGGCTGAGAATGACTGAGCTAGGGTATGAGTTCTCAAACTGTAGAGCTCATCAAAATCTCCTGCAGATCCTTTTATATGCAGATTCCTGGTCCTATCCCTGAGAGTCCTGATGCAGAAGGTTTCAGATGAGCCTCCAGATAATGCATTTGTAACAAGCACCTTATGAGTGGACCTTGGACTACATTTTGAAACACCATCCCAGTCTAGATGCTGGCTACTCCAAGTGTGGTCTCCAGCCCCTCCAGTGTAAGCCTCAACTGGGAGCTTGCTAGAAATGCTGAACCTCAAGCTCTACAGAATCATTACCTGCATTTTTAAAACATTTCAAAGGTGATTTGTTTTTCCACTAAAGTTTAAGAGGCATTGACCTAGATATTTAACCCTTTCTAGGGAGCCTCAGCAAGCTGACTCTTAAATTCCAAGCCCCTTCTGAACTTTCCTATCTCAAGGGTCCCTGTGTCTGTCTCAGGACTGGGATTATTCCCAGGCATAAAAAGTGCTTAGACAACTTTTTCCATCCTTATCAAATAATAACTTACAAAACACCAATTTACCAATGTCAAATTTTGCATAATGAACATTTGGTATGCTTATAAAAGAAATATATGTGGTTTTAAAAATGAAAAGAGAGAGGATTGCTAAGTACTTGCAATTATTTCAAGTGGCTGCCCAGAAAATAAGAGAAGGTATCATAAGGTGGGTGTAATTAGGAGTAATGGAATAAAATTAAGCACAGGAAAATTTACACTTGCTATTGGAATAAATTTTTTCTCAGCAAGGTCAGTAGTTCTTGTGATCGTTCCATTGAAATGGCCGAACTCCTTTCTCCAGGTTGAGTAATTTTCAAACTAGACTAAGGGGAGCATTAGGAAATAGGAGGTTATCGAAAAATCCTTTACTGTCCAGGCATTGATCTGGATGATTTAATACAGCATTTCCATGACTGGAATTAAGCATTTACCCTTGCCAAAATGCCTTCCAGTTGTTTTATTAACTAGGCTTTTCAAACACGCCTTTGAGGTCAATAACAATTTTATTTCTACTTTTTACGTAAAAACCGTGAGGTGCAGCGGTAGAGGGACTTAGCCAAGGTCATTCTGCGAGTTAACAGCTGGTGTCAGTGCAGTCCTGGTACTACTAAGCTCTTAAATCAGGCTTCTGTGCTAATTCTGACTTCTCTGAGGTTGGGAGAAGGGAAAGATAACAGTGGATGATTACTAAAAGCACTTTTCAATGTTTTCTGAATATTCAGGAATTACTGGAAAATATTCTGAAATTTTAGGCTATATTGGCAAATGTAACACTCTGTGTCTTTGAGTGAATTTAGCTTTTTGAAAATAATGCAATTGAATTAGGTCTGTTTGACCATTCATTTGAATTGGTCTGAATTGGTACATTATGCCAAATTACTGGTTTGATTGAAAATTCCCCTGAGTTAAAGTTGTCATAGCTTCCTTTAAAACAATGGTTCTCAAATTTAAGTGTGGACTTGTTAAAATAAGTCCCCAGATGATGCTGATGCTGCTAATCCTAGAATGAAACTTAGAAAGCCACTGCACAAAGCAGAGTCGCACTATCAGATTCCCAGATTTCCTTCATTTAAATAGAATGAATATCTGTAAACTATTACCCTCAGACCTCAGACCACAAAGGTTTCCTATAAGCATTACTGGTCTGCTTGGGTTTTACCCTTTTTCTGTCCGTTTTTAGACAAGAGGCACTGGGGGAGGGGAAAAATGCCTGTAATGAATGGGTGCATTGCTTACTTCTCCCAGACTATTAACTGTACTTCAATCTGACCATAAAGAAGTTCCAGGTCTCTTGTGTTAAATAAAAACTGATGTAAAGGGGGGAAGCGGAGAATAGTGGGAAATGCTTACCCAAGTATCATATTTCTTTAAAGATGGTCGTTTTTATTGGAGTAGAGGAGAGAATGGTGGTAGATAGATTCAGGGTAGATGCGAGAAGAGATATGTCTTCCATCACAGCCTTATTCTAAAACCCTCTGCCTTTCCATTGAGACTGAAGTCAACCACATTACTCTACTCCTAACTACTTCCAGTCAAGAAAAATAGCAAGAAGAATTTTATTCTCTCACCGAGCCCCATAATGCCTAGTCCTCCCTACTTTCCCAATGGTGTGATCAATTTCAGTTCACCGTTTTTCCAAGGGTCACCATCTGCAAGTATATTTCAGGCTGTCTAATTCCACAGAAATATTCTCCAAGGTTTAGAATCTCCTCCTCTGTCCAACCCTTTTAGAAATAAATGCTACGTGAAAATGCCATCCCTCTAACCTGCTTCCAGCCAACACATGTGTACAGGAAAGCTTTATCATTTGGAAGTCTGCTCTCGGTTATGGGGAATGAATAATAAATTGTTCTACAATAAAGCATTGCAGCACAGAACATGGCACGCCGCCTGGCACATGGGCGGAGCTGGGAGAGCGTGTGCAGAATGGATTTTACTGGACACTTACTGGGTGGTCGGCATCAAGCTCAGAACCATACATGAGAACTCTGTGAGAGCATTTGTCTAACTCAGAGATCTTCCGGGGGAACCAGGGCACATCCTCTAGCTCTGTTGAAAACACAGTGCAGGTTCAAAAATATTAGCTTACAGGTTGTGTTTTCACTTTTGCAACATTTGCGAGATTGTAAAATCACCCGACAAACAAAGACCACCCTTGCCTTCTTCCTCTGTCCAAATGTTCTCTGGCGGATTCAGCGTCACAATTGTGGTTTGAAATTTCAGCAACTGAATGAGCTCGTTGAATTCTGCTTTGCCACACTCACAGTCCACAAAGATTTCAACCTCGGAACTCCTTCGTCGGGATTTCCTAGATTCGATGTGAACCATGTTGACATGTTTTTCCTGTGGAAACATAAGCAATATCTCTAAATCATCTTCAGGGCACAATAAAAGGGAGGCCACTAGCTTTCCTTGTTCAAGTCTTAAGCAAAAAGGTGCTAAGTCCCCACAGAAGCAGGAAAGACAATTTCCTTGTTCTTTGATTGACTAAAACGTGGAAATGTTTTCAACCATTGTCTCTAATAAGAAAGCTATATATTTATTCTTCTGTGTGTAGGTTGTGCTATCTCATTTTAAAAAGAGAGGGCATTTAAGATATATAAAGGGCCCTATAAAATGTATTATAATTTTGAACATCGTCATTTCCCAGAGTGGTCCACATCCCACAGGTGGTAGCTGATTAAGTTTGGGAAAAAGTTCATTTATATTATCATGTAATACCTAGATTCATATTTTTGTTTCTGAAAAACATAACAAAAACTCAAGCTCCGATATAAACTTTCCTTTCAAAATAAAGTTTAAAAATAATCTTTTAAAAAATAAATGGAGAGCCATGTGCAGTGGCATTTGCCTGTAGTCAGTCCCAGCTACCCGGGAGGCCGAGGCAGGAGGATCACTTGAGCCTGGAAGTTTGAGGCCAGCCTGGGAAACAGAGCAAGACCCTGTCTCTAAAAAATAAATAAATAAATAAGTAAACAATACAAATGGCAGGCAGAAATCGGGAAGGTGGTATAAAAATGACTGAAGTTTGGGAAACATTAGTCAAACTGGAGCCCACATTGCAGAAAAAAAAAGGAAACAGTCAAGAGAGAATCTCTGAAGGCAAAAGGAAAACAACTTCCTTAGGGGATAGTGAAGAGGGGAAAAAAGGGTAAATAAGTAAATAAATAACCCTTAAATGGGACTCATTAGTAATTGTTCTCTTTTGGCAATTACTCCGGGCTAGGTTCATCCAATGACGTGTCATTGTAACTATCACTCTATATAACATGATGGATCTCAGAGGTAAAAATCTTACAATAAGATGTGCAAGGGAGGGCAGTAATTTAATATTTAAAAATCAGGTTTGAATTTCCCCAGTGATGTACTCTTCATTTCTCCTTAGTTAACTGAAGACTAAGTTCTCCTCTCCACTCCAACCCACCCCAAAATAAGTGGACACCTCCCCATCACTCCAGATGGTACACTCTGATTCTCAGCACAGGTTTTCTGATACAATCCTGGATGATCTCGGAATTTTCAGCATAGAAACAGGAGAGGTACTTTGCAGTGCCAGAATGGGATTAAATGAAACAGCATTCTCTTCTATATAAGCATTCTCTTCTAGTCCTGTGACCAGGAAAGTAATGTTCTATTTCTGTTTTTATTAACCTTTACAATAATACCATATTTTCTAAATTGGCTGATAATAATAGTAAGATTAATATTAAGTTCAAGGTGCAAGAGACTTCACATCTATTGTGTCACTTCAGGCTTTTAATGTCCTTCGGTCAAAGCAGAGTAGATATTTTTAAGGGAACTGAGGTCCAGATGGATTAAGTGGTTTAGCTAAGGCCTCATGACTAGCTGATGGCAGAGTGAAAATTCAGGGCTGCTAACTCCTTCTCCAGGGATTTTTCCACTGCACCCAGATGTCTAATTGAATTGGCCTGCCTTTGGCACTATATGGATACAGCCTTGGATGACATAATTATGTGTAAAATATTTCCCAAGATTTCCATTATCACTGTTTATGGTGCCTGATCCTTTTTTCAAGGTCAAAAGAGAGCAAGGAAATATTTGCCAAATCAGACTGCTAATTCCCCCTCTATGATCATCATAGAGGCATCATAATAATGCCTCATATCTGCACACTTTGCAAAGTGCTTTCATGCACATTATTTCATCCCTACAATCCCGTTAGTTAAGAATTATTATTGCTATTTTACAAATGAAGAAATTAAACCTAGGAAGCAGCTAGTGATTAGCCACGCCAGTTGCAATCTGAATCCCCTGACTGCAATTCCAACTACCTTTCCAAGGCATCAGCTGCCCAAAGCACCTCGGAGGACCAGCCTCCTTATCTCACAGCTCTCATCAGCAGCCAGTGCCCCCAAACAAAATGCATTTTGTAAGGGAAGGTGTTTGCTAAAGGTTAGAGGAACCATTAGGTATATGCTGGTAAAAAGGCAACAGCCTTTCTGGGCTTTTCTAGCCTCACCCCTACCCAGAATCTTTCTTGAAGATTCGAACGACGGATTGATGGGAAGATGATACTGCATTTCTGTAAGATAAGGGGCGAGCTAGCCCAACAATTTATATATAAGAAGACTGACTCATCTTTACAAAATGACACATTAAGTTCATGAAATAATGAAGCTTCGGGGAATACCAAGTACTTATACTCTTGTATCTTTATGCAACAAATGTGCTCTTAGGACAAGTGTACCATTCAAATGTGAACAAATCAAATCAAGCTGCAGGCTCTTGTTATTTAAGATACCCTGTTCGGCTCCTTTTGTGTTTGTATTTTCAAGTGTGAAGCTCACATTTTGACTTCCTCACCTGGCAGCGGTCTGCAGAGTTCCTAATAGGCTAACTCTGAACTAGTAAATCATAGTTCACGTGAATTTGCTTATTTCATTGTTTGGCAGACAAACACCTCTTGTAAAGCCTCATGAAATTTGGTTCCCTTGAATCTTTCACTGCATTATATAAAAATTGATTTAGTAATGTTTGATAGCAGATGACAGGTTTGCAAGCAGGCACACAGTCATTTTTTAAATTATGTAATGATATTTTACATTCACCTGAAAGAGCCTCAGCGCTTTTACCAATCCACCAACTTCGTTTTTCAAGGAGAATACAACTGCTGTCTTGCCACTTTCGGTAGCAGTTTCACTTTTACCGCTTCCCTTGTTGGCTTTCTTGTCATCATTTTTCCCAGAGTTAGCTTTATTTAGCTTCAAAAAGGCAGAAGCACACACAAAAAAATATTAGTTAGGATTCCAGAGTCCTCCATAATTAGATATTTTCCCCCAAATATTCCATTTGATGCTGGAAGCCCCACCAATCACACAAACTCAAGGTGAAGTTGCCGTGTCACTCATAACTTTCAATCATAAATATTGGTCTAATTTACTCTGGAACACTATTTTCCAGTGGTCTAAGACATCATCTAGTGGCTGAAATTAAAGGAGAATCAGATTCGCTTCACTTTAACAGCAACAAAAATCTGACCATCATAAAGTATGAAGTATCATATATGAATAATCCCTACCTTTCTTTATAGGTGCATTTTACAGCATAAAATTTGAAATTTTAGCCTAGTTGAATCACATGGAAACTATATTCATTAGTAAACATAATAATAATAAAACCCAGCACTTATTTTTGACAATAATTTTAGTTTCAATTAAATCTTAAAAACAAAATATCCATTTCATTCTGAAATATGTTAGGACGTGCCTAGAGATTAATTGATAATCTCACTTTCTGCAATTAGACCCACATTGTTAACATGAATTATCAATGTGAATTTACATGCAGCAGTTGAACACAGAGGAATGTATGCAGCTACGGCCATCTGTGTCAGAAGATGAAAAGTCACTGAAAAGTGACTATTAAAATTCAGCCACAAATAAAAGAATAAAAAAAGGAAGGAAGGAAGGAAAAAAACTAGCTAGCTAATCATGAGGAGCAAACAATAGAATTTGAGAAACTGAAAAAGATTAACACTTCATTCGCCATTCAAGATCCTATAATATGTGATAAAGTAATGACTATTAGTCCTGTTGGCTAAAGATAAAAATGACAGATTCCAGTAACTTTGATCATATCATCAGAAACACAGTATAAAAAAGCTAGAAACTTTCATGTGACGATGCAAAATTATGGTGGTCTGTTTTGTGTTCTTTATACGCAAAAGCAGAGTTGGGCAAACAGATCTCCCTGACAAATGGTGATGTAATACAATTTCACCAATCTAGTACATCCTCATGAAACTGAGAAATTTAAGTTTGATTTGGAACCCAGTGAATAGTGATTTACCATTGTCTTCCTCTGATTTCTCCACTGGCTTTATTTCCACACGTTAGTATTGCCTCACTTGCTAGATTTATATATAATAGATAGAAATGAAGATTTTATTATTTATGACTTGAGGGAGAACAGTTTATGCAGACAGTGACATTTGACAGTATGTTTAGTCATTAAAAGCTCAAATGTCTTAGGACTCTCAACATCTGCCTCCTCCTCACCATATAACACACAGAGCTCATATATTTAAGTAGCATTTTTATATGCAAGGGTCATACATTAACCATAACTCTAAGCTTTCTTTGTTTTCCTTCGAGCAGGTCATTATGACTTCAAAATTCTTCAATGTAATATCTCATCCAAATATTCACAATATTTAAATGTTAGAAAAATCTATTTATGTTTTGGCCTTACTTTTTCAAATTGATTTAAATAGTGCTACAAAAGTTGCCACGTTTACTTTTGAACATTTTTAGCAGTGATATGTCAGTACAATGCAACCCTCTGGCACATATTTGGAGCTACGATATTAAAACAGATCCTTCTATGTTACAGACTGAATTGGACTTGGTTGATAAACTCTGATAGTGCAGTAAGAAAATACCATTTAATATTTTTAATGACTAGGAACCCGAATATAGTTTTGTCTTTTTTTTTAACAAGCTTTGTTTGCTTGAAATGAACACATTTTTATTTCATTGTTTTTATTAAATACTATGACAATTACCTCAAATTGGGATCTAAAATTCCACAAATGTTGCTTTTTTATTCTTTAACTATGTTAAACATAAATAATCCTTTAAATACTAAAACAAGTGCATATTATTTTCATTATTTCATCAATTAAACTGAAAAAAATTGAGTAATGTGGAACACAGGAAAACATTTGAAAAGAGCCTGATCTTTCTTTTATTCCAACAACCTGTACCTATAGCCAATAATAGAAAATAATAATTCTGGGTTTAAGTACTAGGCTTTGTAGACAGAAGGGGATGCAGGAGACACAAGGATCTTCTGGGAACATGGAAATTTGATTTCTTCTCCCTATTTATTCTCATAATAATAGCCTTTCAAAATTCTACACACTTTTTTTGGTTGCAGATTTAAGACATCGGTTCATACAAACTCTCTCTCTCTCTCTCTCTCTCTCTCTCTCTCTCTCTCTCATTTTATTTTATTTTATTTTGAGACAGGCTCTCACTCTGCCACCCAGCTAGAGTGCAGTGGTGAGTGGTGTCATTATAGCTCACTGCAACCTCAAATGCCTGGGCTCAGTGGTGCACCACCATGCCTAGCTAATTTTTCTTTCTTTTTTTTTTGCTTTTGTTTTTGTTTTGTTTTATTGTTTGTTTGTTTTTTGGTAGAAATGAGGGCTTGCTCTTCTTGCTCAGGCTGGTCTCAAACTCCTGGCCTCAAGCAATCCTCTCATCTCAGCCTCCCAAAGTGCTAGGATTACAGGCTTGAGCCACCATGACCAGCCAACCTCTCATTCTTAATGTTCAGGCATTGCTTAACTTTCTACTTACAAACTTTGAGGAAAGGAAGTTTAGCACGCAGTGATCAGTACACCTGCTTTACTTTACAGTGATAGGAGGAAGACTGGAGGCAGACAGGAGGGAAGCAGGGTGGAGAGATGGTAAAAGAGGAGTGATCTGAGGTGTGTGTGCTTACTATACACCAGGTATTCTTAGGGTGAGAAGAAGATGACCACCACCCAAGAAAACACTCCTCAAGAGAGTGCTGGGTACTCAGTACTCACTGTTAAGCTGCCAAGTAGCTGATGCTCTTCAGGCACAGCTGAATCCAGGGACAACCCTCTCCTTGCCCAGTATTTACTTGAAAACATCATCATTGCCGGCTGCATGGTTCCCGATGTAATTTCCTTTCTCTGCAACAGGGGGGACTAGCTCTGCAGTAGCAGCAGGTCTGGCGGAGATTGAGAGGAAGGGGCGTGCGATCAGCAGCCGGCGTAGGTCGCTGTCCACAACCCTGGTGCTGAAGAGCAATGCGAATCCTCCCATCCCGGAGCTCCTTTATATGCGTGACTGGCGACTGATGGAAGGTTGATTAGAAAGAAACTCATTTCTGGTTGCCGATGGCCAAGATCAGATTATAGACCTGAAGCCTGGGGTTATCTGTGCTCATGGTGCGATTTGTTTCATAGGTCGAGTAGCTGTTTGGGCGGGGGTGGTAGAGAATAATACGTAAGGGGATATTTGTACAAGAAATAATCTATCCCCTGACGTCAGCTGTCATCTCTCAAGTCTGCTACTGATGAATTAACCTCAGTCTTTTAAGTATTTGTGAATTCAAAGATTTTGTGCTTTCTTTACAACAGTAGAAAAATATTTTTTAAAAGATCAGCACTGCTGAATCCTTAAGCCATTTTACGTATTTTTTTCATTTGTAATTTTTACGGATACATAAATAGTTGTACATAATTATAGGGTACACATATTTTGATACAAGCATACAATATGTAATGATCAGATAGAATAATTGGGATATCCATCACCTCAAACAGTTATCATTTCCTTGTGTTAAGAACATTCCAATCCCACTCTTCTAGTTATTTTAAAATACACAACCATTTATTGTTAACTATAGTCTCCCTATTGTGCTACCAAACACTAAATCTTGTTCCTTCTATCTAACTGTATTTTTGTGCCCATTAACCAACACCGTTTTATGTTAATAAGCATTTTCTGACCTGATGTGTGATACTTTTGTCCATGTAAATGTGTGGGTGTGTGCCCACGTGTATATGTGACAGCTTTCATAAAAGGCGTTGATTCCTAATCCTGCGATGCCTCCATGCAGAGCGATGTTCAAGCAATTGTACTGCAAAGGAAATGTGTGTGAGGCTTTGATTTAGCCACATGTAGAGACGTATATCTCAGACACTAATTCTAGAATCTTCCTCACTAAGTGAGAAGTAAAAGGCAACTAAATACCCATATATCAGTCATTGCTTTGATGCTCTTGATGGCTACTGAATTTTTCCTCTTCACTTGTAACTATTAATAAATCAAATCCAGCAATTTGATATGGATAGATCAATAAATCTTCTTACTAGTCATACTTTAGAAAGTCATAAAATTTCATCATGCCACAGGAAAATATTACTAATCTTTTGAAGAATGGAAAACTTTTGACCAAATATGCTTGCTTGACTGTAAAACTAAACAAAATCTGAGGCCAGGACTGCTTGTCTATATACAAAACAAGATGAAAAATTTTTGGAACAGGAGTGGATGAACTAACAGTGACTAGGATTTAATTGTTTCTGGAGTCTTGGGGGAACATAATCATTATTTGATCTAATTCTAAAAATATCATTTAGCTTGCATTTTCTCTTAAGATCAGCTCTGATCAGCTAATAGGAAAGGCAAATTTAAATGAGTTGATTGAAGTAACAATAGTAATAATAATAGCTAATATTACTGAGTGCTTAGTATTTCCCAATTTCTTTTCCAGGCACTTTCTATGCACTTTTGCAGGTCAAAAAGTGATTCACCATCACAACAACACTTACAAAGCAGCCACCATTATTCCTATTTTACATGTGTAGAAACCGAGACACAGAAAGTTTAGGTAACTTGCCAAAGGTTTACACACTTAAGAGTGGCCAGGGCAGGATTTAAATTCAGGCAGTCTGGCTCCAAAATCCATGCTCTCAATCATTATATCCTACATCCTCTTGAGTATTCCAAACAAGTAAAAACATGTTAACAAAAGTAGACTCTGAAGACCATACATAAATTATTTCAGCTGGAACAGGATTTTGGAAGATGTGTAATTCAACAAATATTTGTTAAGCAGTCACCTTGTCTTAGGCATTGAAACTGAATCCTAGGGATGCAAAGATGAATGAGATACAGTGCCTACCCTCGAGGAGATCACAGTCCACCTGAAAGAAACACACATGCAAATAAATAAGTGAAATGAAATAAATTGGTTTCTCTACAGAAGATATCAAAAGCACTGGGGAATGAGTGTTCAATATTACCCTTAGGGGTGTCAGGAGAGGCTTCTGGGAAGAGTTGCCAAAGCTGGATCTTCAAAAGTGAGTTTGTTAGAAGGAATGGGAAATAGTAAGAAGATGATTCCAGGTAGAGAGAAAAACATAAGAAAATATAGACAGAACTGTTGTTGCTCAGCAATGACGGCGTATAAGTTTGGGGCAAGTGTGTGCAGTAAGATAAGGCTGAAGAGGAAAGAAGGTTCTAGGTTATGATAATTCTTGAATGACATTGTGTGGGCCTTGCACTTTATCCCTTTATCCTGTAGGTGAAGGAGAATAATTGCAGGGGCTTCATGCAGGGCAATTGTGTGATCATATTGGTATTTTAGAAAATAGCAGCTTGAGAATGGGCACAGTGGCTCATGCCTGTAATCCCAGCACTTTGGGAGGCTGAGATGGGAGAATCATTTGAGGCCAGAAGTTCGAGACCAGCCCGGGCAACATAGCGAGACCTCATCTCTACAAAAAGCTTTTTTAAATAGCCAGGCATGGTGGCACATACCTGTAGTCCCAGCTACTCAGGAGGCTTAGGTAAGAGCACAGCTTGAGCCCAGGAGTCCAAGGCTACAGTCGGTTATGATCATAACACTGCACCAGCCTGGGTGACAGAGTGAAACCCTGTCTCAAAAAAGAAAGGAAGGAAGAAAGAGAAGAGAACTTCAATGCTGAAGGCAGAAACCACTTAGGGTTTGAAATAGTCTAGCCATGAGATGACAACCTGGATTAAGGCAATAACATTAAGGATGCAATAAAAAAAACCCAGAGATGTGAAGGGGTAAATTCATTGGACAATGTCCCCGCTTGAATGTGGGAGCAGGGGGAAAAGATATTAAAAGTCATTTATTTAGAATATTTGTTTAGGATATTAAAGATTTAACTACTTTTTCCTCCTTCCAGAAACTTTATTGAAACAACACAAAAGATTTCCTTTTCAAGGCACACAAAAATAGCATAAATTGGAAAACAACCACAACAAAAAATGAGAAGCTTGAAAGGAGATGAAAAAGTGATCAAAGACTTCACAGATACAAGAAAGCTGAACCAAAACTATCAATGAAGACCAAGAAGCAATCCAATTTACACTATAGAATTCCCTAATGGCTCAAATATCTCTGGAATTGAGGGTAAATGGAGGAGACTTAAAAAGAATGGTTCGAAATATAAGAAGCAGTTAGGTAATTCAAAACTTACAACAAAGTTACAGTAATCAAGACAGTACTATGTAAGGACAGACATATAGATAAATGGAATAGAATTGAGAGTCTAGAAATAAACCCTTACATTTATGGTCAATTAATTTTCAACAAAGGCACCAAGACAATTCAATAGGAAAGAATAATCTTTTCAAAAAATGGTCCTGGGGCAACTTTGGATATCCACATGCAAACAATGAAGTTGGACTCCTACCTCACATCACACACAAAAATTAACTCAAAATGGATTATAGACATAAATGTAAAAGCTAAAACTATAAAACTCTAAGAAGAAAACATAGGAGTAAATCTTTGTCACTTTGGATTAGGCAATTTTTTCTTAGATAGGACACCAAAAGTATAAGCACCCAAAGAAAAAAATAAATGGAATTTAATCAAAATTAAAAACATTCGTGCTTCCATCAAGAAAGTGAAAAGACAATCAATAATATGGGAGAAAATATTTGTAAATTATATATCTCATAGGAGATAGTATCCAGCATAAAGAGCTCTTACACCTTAGCAATGAAAAAAGACCAATTTTTAGCTGAGTAAAAGATTTGCATACACATTTCTCCAAAGAAGCTATGGCCAATAAATACACAGAAAGATGCTCTAACTCATTAGTCTTTAGAGAAATGCAAATTAAAACACAGTGAGCTACAACCTCTGACCCACTAGGATGGCTAAAATAAAAAAAGACAGACAATAACAAGTGTTGGTGAGGAAGCAGAAAATTTGGAACTCTCATACATCGCTGGTCATATTGTAAAATGATACAGCCACTTTGGGAAACAGTTTGGCAGTTCCTCAAAACGTGAAACATAAAGTTACCATATGACCCAGTGATTTCACTCCTAGGAATATGTAAAATGGTGTAGTCACTTTGAAAAAAACATTTGGCAAAATTTAAACCTAGAGTTACCAAATGACTCAGCAATTCCACTGCTAGGTATATATGAAAAATGAAAACATATGTCCACACAAAAATTGTATTTGAGGCCGGGCGCGGTGGCTCACGCCTGTAATCCTAGCACTCTGGGAGGCCGAGGCGGGCAGATTGTTTGAGCTCAGGAGTTCGAGACCAGCCTGAGCAAGAGCAAGACCCCGTCTCTACTAAAAATAGAAAGAAATGATCTGGACAACTAAAAATATATAGAAAAAATTAGCCGGGCATGATGGCACATGCCTGTAGTCCCAGCTACTTGGGAGGCTGAGGCAGAAGGATCGCTTGAGCTGAGGAGTTTGAGGTTGCTGTGAGCTAGGCTAACGCCACGGCACTCACTCTAGCCAGGGCAACAGAGCCTCTTTCTCAAAAAAAAAAAAATTGTATTTGAATGTTCATAGCAATATTATTTATAATAGCCAACAGTAAAAATAACTCAAATATTATTACCTAATGAAAAGATAAACAAAACATGGTATATCATAAATGGAATATTATTTGGCAATATAAAGGAATGGAGTACTCATTCATGATACAACATGGATGAACATTATGCTAAGTAAGAGAAGCCAGTCACAAAAGACCACATATTGTATAATTCTGTTTATTTGAACTGTCTAGAAGATGCAAAAGGAGACAATGAAACAGAGAGAGAGAGAGAAAGGAACACATGGAAAGTAGCTTAGTGGTTGCGAGAGGCTGGAGGGAAGGAGGAAGTAGAGAATGGCTGCTAAGAAGAACAGGGCTTATTTTGGGGGTGATGAAAATGTTCCAAAATTAAATATCGGTGATAGTCACACAACTTTATGAATATAGTAAAAACCACTGACTTGTACACTTTTAAA